TAGCTTGTTTGAAGCTTTGCTAGAAATTATGGACGATACATTTCTGCTCTCAAGAATTGTTGAATCCAAAATGATGACATTTTATATTACACTTCTTCCTGACAGATAAAGAGGACTTGATCACAGGATGAACAGTCAGTTGAAAAGGATCTTTATTCTATTTGCACAAAACAAATTTAATTGATTCCTGATATTTTTGGTGTCATGAAAGGACAGATTTCACAAATATGAAACTATTTTTTCTCACTGGGGTGGGAGAACTTAAACAAAAAATAGGAATGATGCTGATGAGCTATCTAACAATGTTCAAAACTTCTACAGACCAGAAGGAAAGCTATACTAATTTTAAAAAACCCACACGAACAGCACAGTTGAAAACAAACTCTCCAAATATTGAAAACTAAACTCATGTTCAAGCATTTCTCATTTCTGCTTGCTGGCAAATGGAAAAGTTGACAGAAATTAAATTAAATTAGTTGAAATCCAGAAAATAGGTGTAGATAATATGTGTAGGTAACAAAAAGGATGTATGGTTAGCACAGTTGAGGGCAATAGGAAGTTACTTTGCATATATAGCAAGAATACTAAAACCAGTAACAAGTATTGGTCCAATGCTAGATAGAGATGCTGTAAGTATCAAGAATTACAGAAAGGTGAAAGTGTTGAAAAAATATTCTGTTCTGTGTTTGGGGAAAAGTCAGATATATTCCATCAGATGATGGAATAGCTTTCATTGACAGTAGCTAATGATGTTAAACACTAGCTATTAAAGTTAGACACTTTACAATCAAGATTTCAGCTTAAGTTGCATCTATGATTTTTTAAAGAGCTGATCCTTGAATGCTGTGGAATATTAATGTTGATTTTTTAAGAAATCGTTTACAACTGGGAAGGTTCCAAAAGACAGCAAGAACTTAACTTTGTGCCAGTACTTTTAAGGGCTAAGTGGCTTAAACATGAATAATTATAAGCCTGACATCAATCAGTGAAAAATATTGCGTAGCTAACAGGGGGCTGACTAATAATTATTATTCATAAGTATTAATTATCATTAATATTATTCATAATCCAGGCCCATGCTAGCTAATAAATTTAAATGGGTTAGTGAAATTAAAGGTGATCTGTGTGTTTATCGATTTAATCAAACTGAATATAATTTTTTAAAAGATTATCAATTAGGTTGACAGAGGCAATGATGTGGAGGTAAGAAACTCTTAATATTTGACTTGGCTTCATACATCAGCCTGGTTACATCATCTGAATTATGCAAAATCAAGGTTAGTTTTGTTACCACCTGTATGTACCTGCAGTTAATCAGACTAACTATAGTCATGCCTCGTGACTGAAAACTGAAGCCAAATAAATTCAGGTTAGTAATAAGGTACATCTCTTTGTGGGGAACAAGGTCATTGAAAAAATGTTCCATCCTGGATATTTTTAAAGGAAAATATAGTGTAAATAGTTTGGACAGTAAATGTGGAGAGTGATGAGGAGCACCAGTAGCAGCAGAGGCAGCGATGGGGAGTTAGTTCTCCCTCCCTGCCAGTTGGCTTGCACACACAGCACCTCTTTCTTCTCTTTCCCCATTTTCTTAACACATTATTCCCCTAACTCCAGAAAGGCTTTCTGAGCTGGGTGTGGTCCCATTGCAGTGGCATGTAGGCTGAGCTTGTCTGTGAGCACCGGTCAGCCTGAATTGTAGGTGAGAAAGGATCATCCCAAGGGGCCTTCTGGCTTCCAGGAGTCAGAAATTTTTAGGTATTTCAGAGCTGTTCGTCCAAAGGCAGGTGCCCTGTCCAACACACCAAACCTAGACGAGGTGGCCCTGGGAGAAACAGGAACTAAGTCTGTGTTCTGGGCCAAGCCCCAAGAGCCACGTCACCTTCCCATGCTCTCCTAAGCCACCTCCCCACTCCATGCCTGAGGGACAAGGAGCTGCTGCCCAGTTCCATTGGGAATGAGGGGAGGCTCTGCACTCTTCCAGCAGGCTTCCCTGCCCAAACTGCTGCTCCCCACCCCCTGCAGGTGAGAAGCCATAGACCAGGTGCTGGGGCAGGGTAAAGCAAATGATATAAATTGTTTTCCAGGGCCAAGTTCAGTGTCAGCATGAAGTCAAAAGGATATGACATTTAATGATGTTTTACTTTCCTTACAAGTCTTCAGTGTAGTACCCTAAAATCAAGTCCTGTGGTATCATTTTCCACAGAAATGGTTCCTGCAGCCTTTGGTAAGTGTCAGGAATATCATTATGCTTCTGGCGCAAACCAGGACAGAACGAATGAAAAGCAGATAAACTACTTTTAATATATTTCTCACTTTGTTTAGGAAAATCTGTAGGTCAACTGAAGCACATTGGGATTAAAACAACAGAAATATTTGAGAGTTGAAGAGACGTATGAGAAAAAATTTTAAAATATGTCCAGGCAGTGACTGAATATAGAAAATAAGAGCACGTTAGGTTTGTAAGCCCAGGAAAATGAAAGAAATTATTTTTAAAAGAAAAATTTGGGCCAGGTTGCTCTTACAAGGGAAATGGTGTCACCCTGATAAATCAGTACTCCAGCTGACACTAAACTAAGCAGAGCTCTGTGTGAACATGCTACAAACAGTCCTCTGCTCTCAAGGCAGGGGTGACCTAGAAGCCATTCCCTCAGTTTTCTGTCCCGGGAGGGAATGTGAGCCAACTTGTCACACACACCCCTTAGGGGAGCATTCTCTTAGATACTGCAGTTGGAACAGGAATATTCTGTATTGTAAATGAGAGTGCCTAGGCTACAATTAGTGTCACTGAGTTTTACAATATATTGCTGGTAGTATGAGGAGTGGACTACAAGTTTGCAGATCCAAAAGGAGGCTTATAATTTCATCCATGATTCTATTTCTTGTAACGGCCTTACTAATTCTTACTAGTTTTGACCATGGCAAAAGTGTAATATTCCTGTGACTCTTCAGTTAACATGCACCTCAGTCCTGCAAGTTACCCTTTTATTGCACAAGGGTCTGTTTTATATCTTTATTACCCACATCATTGGGTATGATCTGATTGGAAGGAACCTCTTGGATCACTGGCTGACAGCCCCCATGTCACTCAGGGTAACATCATTGTGTTCATACGTGTCTCAGTCACCACCTTACTAGGCAGTTTGCCCCGGCTACTCCAGTACTGAACACTGTTCCACGCTGTCAGCTCTTTGATGACTAGGAAACAGTTGCAGTACTTTTGTATATGTAGTTTTGCCTTACTATCATGGAACACCTATTTTCGTTTTCTTTTTTATAACCTGTAATCTTGATTTTGTTGTGTAAACTGCACCTCAGTTTTAGTGCATGGGTTTCAGAATTTACTGTTTTCCTATGAAATGTGTTTGGGAAATCTGGGGAGGGATTCACAATTCATTGCTGAGGGAATAGTGCTGTGCTTCTCTTCCACCTTGCGCCAGAATCAGCATTGTCGGTGATGAGAGTAATAGCCCCAGTTGACTTTTAAGTCTCTTCTTGACTGCCTGAGTTCTTTTCATCCAGGATACCTTGTGAGTTGTCACAGAGAGGCTTATAATATTATCCAGAGTGTTTTATGTTCATCTGTAAGTCTGATACTGTGGGTACTGTATTTCACTTATTATTTGAGCTACAAAATGGGATGATGCAAATATTCTGAACTGTCAGCCTAGGACTGCGGAAAACCACAGGTGGAGATAGCTGAGAGTAAAATGCCTGAAGGGGTTGTGGAGGAGTGAGAGGCTGCTGGGAAGGAGGGACAGACAGAGTTTGGAAGAACCAAGTTTTAGAGGATCAGTGGCTCCAGGAAGCCTATTAACTTATGTTAATGTCATTTGCCCATGTGTATAACCTGATTTGTGAACCAGATTCTTTCCAACTAACTCCCAGGTGATATATGTGAACAAATGGCATTATTAATAATGCAGTTAAGTTTCATAACTTGTGTTCTTTTTTCTTCTTCTTTTTTTTCTTGATTTACTATATAGTCTAATTGAAATGAGACTTTGGGAGAGATTTACCCAAGTCACAAAGCACAGTGCCTTGCAAGTAGCCTCCCCATCCCTTCAAGCTCCCTAAACAGTGCGGGGATGGTCCTTCTAGAGGTTTGTTGTACATGAAATATAGACTTTATAAAATCCAAGGAAGAGATTATAGAAACATCCCAAACACACACACCAAAACACTTCAGAATGAAGGGCACTAAATACTTTTCTTCTTCTACATTTTCTTTGTCTGTTCCAGTACAATTGTCTGGTCTGTAAGAGAGAATCATTCACCTGTTTTACCCAGTGGCACAGTAGTACTTGATCCCCAAGAGCTTTCCTACAGGGCTGTAGGAAAGACAGGTATTCAGTTGCTGGATTTAGATTTCCCAGTTGCACAGTTCTCCAGTGTACGGATGGGAAGTGCTGAGAACGGTGTCACATCTTTGTTACCTCTCTTTAGAGAGGCACCAAGGACTGCAGGTACAAGGAAAGTGCCTTCTCACCGTACAAGGCGGTCACCCTAGGATGAGATATAGGATCTTGAGCAGACTGCTGTGTAGAACCAGAACAGACTTCAATTGTTGCATCAAACACTGAATTTTAGGATTAATTCTGACTATAGCTTCCAAACCTCAGAAAAATGTGTTGAATAGTATCTGTCCTGCAGGTTCATCAACACAGAACCAATTTCCAAGAATACTCTCTGCAGAAATATTTTTTCCCTTTCTATCATTTTAAAATGAAGCAGTCGAACTACAGCAGGTTGCATAGCATGAGGCACCTTGTGCATGAAAAATTACACTATTATGAATGTTTGGATTAGTTTATATGATTGACTGATCATCCTTAAGTACTTCATAATGCAACCATTCAGCAAATTAAGCTGATGTAATGTATCCTTATCAACAAGTAATTTCCTATATGTTTGTTTGCAGTGTTCTCTAGCAGCTGCATCAAGTTTGTTAATAAAATATGGTGAGTAGATCATGATTCCCCTCACTTTTCATTTCATAGGTTGGTGAGACCAGATGCAAAAAAGTTTGCACTTCGAAATCTGATCTGAGATCCAATGATTTCAGCATCGTTGGAAGTTTGCCAAGGGATTTTGAATTATCGAATTATGACTGTTATGGGAAGCCCATTGAAGTCAACAATGGGCTCGGGAAATCTCAAGCCAAGAACAACAAGAAGCCTCCTCCTCCCAAGCCTGTTATTCCATCAGCAGCAAAGAGAATCGATCTTTATGCAAGAGCACTGTTCCCTTTTTGCTTCTTGTTCTTCAATGTCATATACTGGTCCATATATTTATGATAAATCTTTTATTTATTTTTTTCATATGTGTAAAATATATCCCATTTCATTACCCCTTCCCAGTCATGAAGGCCACTGTGTGAAATTATTTGCATTTGCAAAGCAATATGTTGCATTTTGATGCCATGCGATTGTACTGAATATATGGCATCTGAAATTTGAATGAAAGCATGACACTGCAATGTCTGTTCTCTGACCAACGTTGTATATAAATGTACAGCATCCATCCTGCTTCAGGAATATATATGAAGGACAATGCATACTACATTATAAAGCTGAATAACGCTCTTCAGTTATAGTAACATGCAGAGATTTAAAGTGTTTCTGACAATGAAACTGATGTGCACGTTGAGTATAATTAAAATCAGTATTCTAGTATATGTAGTATTTAACAGCTTTTCTGCTGACTTCCAGAGAAAAACAAAACAAAACAAACAAACCTCTTGTTCTTGTATGATTTTAGATGGCACTGTTGAAGAAAAAGCTAACGTAATTCATTATTTAGACTTTGTTAAGTGAAGGCAGCATTGAATAAGCTGATCTTGTCTATGTGGAAAAATAAAGATCAGTGAATTATTAATTTTGTAAAATCAGCTCATTTAGGAAAATACCCAACACTTGTGTCCATCAAGCAGGCACACTTAAGTGTGTGATAATATGCTGACAATAAAACATTGGGCTAAATTTTGACTGCTGTTTCCTTAGGCACAAACTAGATACAATATGTCAAAACCGAACAGGCCACTTTCTGGATTAAAGGTATCAGGAGTTTTGGAGAGACATCACCAGATGCAGTTCAGTGTCAGGTTATGTTATCCTTTCTTATGAGAGTCTGTCCTCTGGCTCATCTTCTGTAGGGTCTGGCAAGCCCACACTATTTAAGTCACAATTTCTTTGTTGTTGCTTTGTATACATCTTACTCATTTTGTTTTGCTTATTCCCTTGAAATCTTTCAGCTTAAACAAACCAGTTTTTGTCAAAAAGAAATCTCATTTTTACCACTAGTTGTACTTGTTTGCCTGTTGTAGCACAGATGACCAAGGCTAACACCTTGCCACCAGTAGAAGTGAAGACATGTCCAAAGGTCTAAGGGGCTAAGACTCATAAATATACCATGAGCCCTTGTGCCTATGTGTTAATTAGTGGCTGCCTTCACCAATTCATTGCTTTGGCTGCTGTTTTGGGAGAATAAGGTCCTGACAGGAGACCGCTCTCCATTTTCCAGAGGAAACCCTATGACATGGAGGCTACGTATTCATGATCTCCTCGGGGTGAGTAGGGCAGGACCTGTGGTCTCCTGTGGGTGCCAGGGTACATCCCTTCATAAGGGCAAGTCACGAGGTGAAACAAAGCCAAAAGAGAGCTGCTTGCATGTAGGCGTCCAAGCAGCGCGTGTTCCCTGGGAACGTGTAGAAATCAGCCCTTGGGAGCATGCCGTAGAGAAGCATGTCTCCGCTTGTAAAGCTGGGTCACCACAGTTAGTTAAAATATGACAATAAGACAGTTCTCACTAACTTGGTAGTTCACAAAAGGAATTACAGATTATTGGCTCCTCATAGGCTAGAAAGAGACTGAATTGAATATGTGGAAACCTTCTATAGCGTGGAAACAGACACAATTAGATTAGATATCAGGAAGAAGTTCTTCCCGGAGAGGGTGGTGAGGCACAGGAAGGGGTTGCCCAGAGAAGCTGTGGATGCCCCATCCCTGGAAGTGTTCAAGGCCAGGCTGGATGAGGCTTGGAGCAACCTGGTCTAGTGGAAGGTGTCCCTGCCCATGGCAGGGGGGTTGGAACTAGATGATCTTTCAGATCCCTTCCAACCCAAACCATTCTGTGATTTTAGGAGTTCTAGGTCATCCAGGATGTGTTGGGCCAATGCAGGCCACAAGGCGACTGTCAGATCACTTGGGTATTGCTCAGCACATGGAAGTTGTCCATGTACATTCAGCCTGCACAATCAGAAGATCAAAAGAGGGAATATAAAAAAAAGCAAAGCCCTCCATGCTGGCTTCGCTGGGCATCTGGCCGACCTGCACACACCCAAGGGTTTGTCCTAACCACTGGCACTTAGTGATCAACAGCCTGGCTGCTGCAATTCAAGTTTGGGTTGAAAAGATCTGCTCCTCAGAATGTGGTCACGTGTTTTCCACCATTTCCTGGCCCCATTCTCATGGAGATTTCAGGGACCTGCTTTACCAGGTGGCCACAGCTTCTCCTTTGGATTTCCTTCTGATCCAAGGAAATGGAAGGGAAATCCCAGACGTTACTGAACGATGTTGAAACAGCGTGGGGGGAAATTATATCTTTAAGGTCTAGTTCAAAGTTTCGATATTTCTGTCTGTTGAAAGTATTTACAGAATTGTCAGAAACTCTAAGAAGCAATAAGGATAAGTCAAAGAGAGGAAGGAAGGGAGGGGTAATTTTTTTATGTACAATCAGAGTGCTATATTTATAGACATTTATTCTCATACTTGTATTTTTTCTTACGGTACTGGAAGGCAAGAAAATAATTACCCTGTGTTGAAAATTATATGAATTTTGGAAGATAATTTTCTTGTTAGAACTCTTATGAAATGATTTATCTGTAATTAATGTCCACATTCTATCTGTATAATCTCAATTATAGATTTTATTGTTAAATTAATCTTTGTTCCTTCTTGCTTTCCTGCTTACTTGACAGCTTTTGTGTTTTATCATAAAACATTTAATCAATAATACACTGTAATTGCTTTCCAACTCACACAAAAGGAAGAAAAAGAATGTATATTGTTAAGGTAAAGGCTTTTAGTTTATTACAGCACAAAAACTAGGGATAGAAGCAAAGTTTAACGGCAAATTTGAAACAAAATTTAAAATAAAACATTATCAGCTATAAAGTATTAATTTTCTTTTTACTTACACTAGATAATATTGCAGTATTTATATTACCTCGAAATATATTAAGTTGTCCTACTGAGCAGTAATAATTGATTTATTTTATTTTTCTTCTTTACACTAAAGGTCATTGAGAGTTTTGCATACCATATCGCATTATGGTCCTCCAGCACCCTCTAGTTGTAAAATTCTGCCTGTTGACTCATTTCCAGAAGAAGGTGCAAATATAAAACTGTATTAGCAGTATAGGATGTTACTTGATATTGATAATATGAAGGGAAAAAAATATTAATAAAATGAAAAGAAATGGACATAAAATCAATGGACAGCTATTGGAACTTGCGAGGCAGTATGAATATAAAATTGTAGAAATTAAGACATTCACGTAGTAGCTAAGGTGAGGCTCATGAATCACACGTTAGTAACTAGATTAACTAGTCATGATGTCTGAACAAACTGCAATACAGCAAAATCTGTTTTTGAGGGAGAGACCATCTGTGTTTCAGCTGACATTTACTTTAAGTTCTACTATTGGCTGGTAGGAGAGTTACAAATTTTTTTTTCTACTCTTAAAAAATACTTGGTATTTTCTTGGCTCTTAAGCATCATGGTGTAGCATCCAAATAGTCCATTCCTTTCTTTCACAGTGTTATGGCCCTTTAGATATCTATTTCCAGATTTTAGAACACATTCAAACACTGCATCAGGAATTTCCATGGAGATTAATTAATCCATTGCTTAACTGCATCCACAAATTTAAGCTATTCAATGAGCCAAGATGTAACTTGAAAAGTATAACAGCTGCTCTGCCCTAATTCCCTGTTAGGATGTGTGAAATGTACTGTGTGGAGTAATCCACACCTTACTTTCTCATGCTGGTTTGAGTCGTATTTGACACTCGATTTTAGGAGCAGCTCTGTGGTGTTTCTTGGCACCTCCTCTTTTTTTCAGTCTAACGTTAATTCTAGCTGAGGTGATGTATGTGAGCGGCCTGTCTTTGGGGGGAGGAAGGGAGTTTATTTCTGTAAGCACAGTGTACAGAAGATAGACCACTTGGAAGCATTGCCAAGCAGCTTTTGTTCTTCACAGACTTCAAATTAAGTTGGACTTGGGAACAGGAAATGTGTGGGAAAAGGGAGAGCATCCTCAGTGCCCTATTACCCACTAAAGAGAAAGCAGTAACACTGCCTGCTGGGGTCATTTCAGTGAGCACGACCCGGAGAGATTGATCTGGCTGCATAATCATCTTGAAGGAAATGCACTTACAAGTAATCTTTATTTCAAAATGTTTCACTCTGAAGAGAGAGAGTAATTTACTTAAGCAGTCTGTTGTAGCTGCTAAGGTAATCTATTAAGAAACATTATAATACAGCAGAGACCATTGGTCTCTGCTTCAATTAAAGCAGTTTACCGTTATGGTTATTGGATGACTTGTGCTGAGGATGTTCATAGAATAGATAACAAAAAATTATTTATTTCCAAGGGAGTGCAACCTCAATAAATGCAATGTCATGTGATTTTTCAGGCTATCGAGATAGCTTAGTGCTGAAATGAGTACAAATGCGGAGTGTAGCAGATAAGGGAATGGTAGGACACCGTTACTTGATGGTTTGGTGTACTAATTCTAGGATTAGGGAAGATAATGTAAAAAGAAAAAAGAAATTCAGATACGGAGAGATTGAATAATAGTTTTGTTTGTGTCTACTATTCAATTTAATTGTGTCTAACAATTTAACTGCTCCATAGAGTAATAATATGCTATGTTACCTTTTTAAAATATGAATATAAAGAATTACTAAAAAAAACATAGAGTTCAGCTTATCTGTGGTGTCAGAAAGATACAGAAACTAGTTCTTTTCATCAGAAGCTCTACACTTGAATAAACAATGGAACATGCAGAAAACAAAATGCAGTTTTAAAGACATAAAATTCTCACCAATGTAGTTTTGTCTGTACCATTGTATCAAATAAATCACAATCAATCTGGGCTGCTTGCAGCACTCCCTTGCATTTTGACTTACTCAGGGAGGTTGCTGCCCCTCTACCTCCCAGCACCTGCCCTCATTCCATCAGTGGTAATAGTGTCAGCAGCCATTAAAAAAAAAATTATATGGCTATTTTGAAATCCTTCTGAAAACCCTCCATTGCCATGAATATGCCTACACTGCAGTCCCTAAAATGTCTGAAGCTAATGCAGGCTTATCCAAATTAGCTTTAAACTAGCTGACTTGGGGAGGGCTGGCAACGTAGCCATGGTAACGGCGACCTCCGGCTGGGAAGCCTACCTGCTGGTGTAGGAAATGAAAAAATATACTTTGGTGTTAACCCCCACAAAGCTTTATGCTGCTTTGGCTGTTACTCTCAAACAGTTGGTTTAAAGTTAGCTCGTGTGGGTGTTTATCAGCCTGTGTCTGCGAAATGTAGATGTACGCTGTATGACGCACTGTGTGCTGGAACTGAATTATTTTCTCCCACTGGTTATGTGAAAGATGCCACTGTAAAATGTTCTCTCTATGGCTCTTGATGACATACAGGATTTCTGCCATATTCAGTTTTGTGTAGTGACAAGACTCTTCACCTTTAGACTCAAAAACGAAACCCATTTTCCCAAACCAGTACACTTGTAAAAGAATGAGCTGGATTCACCCACCTGAGCATGAGTGAGGTTGTCTGCTGAGTCTAGGTCATAAGACTATCAGTT